GTATGTTAACACTTGCACAATAAAAATAAAGATTTTTTTTTCTTTTAAATTTAAAAAAAGATGATAGGTGAATAAATATAGATATATTGACCTGCAGCCTAAGAGGAACATAAAAGTTAAAGTTATATAAAAGCTCTTTTGGCCACTCTGACAAATTCAGACTGATTAATAATTATCTTTCTGAGACATCACCCGAGAGATACTGCTGATTAGACAGTGCTGACAGCAAAAGAGTGATTTGGGTGACTTTTCTAAGAAAATTATGAAAGAAATCAAGATCTAAACACAACAAATTGAAATCTGTACATCATTTACAAGTTGCAGTTGCATTCACTCTGACAGCTTCAACACTCAGCTGTCTCATTCAGGGGCAGGCTGGGCCAGAAGGCAAAAGTCCAGGTAATCCAGCAGATGCCAGCATAAGCAAGTTAGTCACCTCTGCAGGGAGTGGGAAGCAGCGCGGTGCCTGTGCACTGCGTATGTCTGTCTGCCTCTCGCAACATTTGGTCTCTCCAAACGTGCAGAGAGTGAGAGAGTGAAACATCCTGCTCCCACTAGGGTCTGGGTCCTGGGTTAAGTGCAGGGGATGCAATCTAGGTACTGGAGAACAAGCAGGAGATGCCAGACAAATGGGTACAGAACAAATGCATGGAGTGCCAGGTATGTGGGTGCAGAGGGAGCACTGGGCAAGCAAGCAGAGTGCCTAAGCAAGTTGCTAAGGATGCAATTATGTTACCTGAGCAACTAGGGACAGAGCAGTGGCACAGAGGTGCTGGGGCAGAACAATGGCACAAGGAGGCTGATGACAGAGAGATGGCAATGTCAGATTGTTTTGGGACACAGATGGAACAGAGAGTCTGGTGGCAGATAGATGGCACAGATGGCTCATTGGCATGATATTCAAATTTTATGAATTTACTGCTATTTGGCATGATATACATGGTTTATGCATGTACTGCTCATTGGCATGATGTACCAAAAGTATGCATTTAATGCTTTTTTTTTTACATGATATACCAAGTGTAAGCATTTACTTTTCATTGGTATGATATACCGAGTTTAGGTATTTACTGTCCATTAGCATTATATACCAAATGTATGCATTTACTGCTTATTTGCATGATATACCTAGTTTATGCATGTACTGCTTATTTGCATTCTTAATTGGCATGATATACAATATTTATGCATTTAATGCATTAATAGTATTCCCTTGCTGGAAAATCCTTCCAAATTCATTTTACTAAATGCTTGCCTGGTTGGGGGAATCTCCCTTATTGATTAGTGATGTCAACGTGTCAAGTGGGACTGTTCTGTAACCACTTTAATTCTTTATATTCAATTATCCTGTATGTCTATCAACACACCTTTTTTCTTTGTGTACTTGTGTATGGGATAGGCATAAGGCTATCCTAACTATAAGATAAGGCCAGGGACTAATGAAAGTATTTAGAAAATTGGGCAGACTAGATGGGCCGAATGGTTCTTATCTGCCGTCACATTCTATGGTTCTATGTATATCACTTAATTGATGGATTGGTGGAAATGCACCATGGGCCACTAAATTGTTTTTGCCCCCCAAGCCTCAAGTTGCCAGCCCTTCTCTGGTCTCACAATTATATAATCCTGGCTATTACCTCCTGATCAGTTTGGATTCTAACTCACATGTTTTAAACAAGGTAAATAAAACAGTCCTTATTTTGCTGTCTCAATAACGTCTTGCAGGTCCGACAGTTTTTGTTGTCCATGCATATATTGCACAAACTCCTGTTACACTATCCTCTTGCTCTGTTGGATTGAGAGTGATTGTGCAGGCTATTGCGAAAACTGGCATAGCTATCAATTCCATTTTTGTTGATATACTATTGATGGTGTCTTTTTAAAAATGGGTAAACTGTGAATATAAAGGAATACAAATGGTAGAAACAATGTTTAGTAGATTATTTAATGCAAATGATGCAAAACTGATATCGAGCCTGTCAATAAATCTCTTAATTAGTGTGAGAATTACAAGTGAGCTTTGTACCAAGCAGGCGGGCCAGCAATAACACAAGGCCTTTCTTTAACATAATGGGGTTGGCCAGCAGAAACAGAATACCAGGGATACTATTGAAAAATCCATTGATCGTTTTTGTTGGAAATATATGATTGTTGCATTACATAAATAAAAATGTTCCCCTAAATTTTTAGGTGGCATTAAAACCTTATAATCGCTACTCTCTCCAAAAATTTTCAATTCAGGGTTTATTTCTAAATAATTTCTAAAGCTTTGTTATCCCTAGTTAGTCATATTAAAACCCATCCTACTATTAAAGGTCTTACTTCTCAATAGGCGTGTGGTCTCTTGCACTATTCACAGATGATATTTTGTTATTCTTGGATGAGATGGAAGTTTCTTTACCAAGCCTTTTTTAACTACTTCAATATAGAAAAGTCTCAGATTATAAAAAATAATCTCACTAAAGCCCAGACTATCCCTACTGGGCTACTACACCGTCTTGTTTAATCCTTGAGACATATATAATAATTTGACTGGAGAGACATAGTCCTAGTATACTCACAAAATCACACTGTACATTAGTCACAGAGAATATTTTTTAGTTGCTGTCCCAAGTAGAGACGTCTTTGGAAGGATGAGACTGGTTGGATAAGTCGTAGCCAGATTAACGTGGTCAAAATTATGACTTTACCAGTAATTTTATTTTTATTCAGAACACTGATAATAGCTATACCAACCTCACTTCTGAAACCATTTCAACAACTTTTTCATATGGAAACTTAAGGCACCCTGCTTGTCTTTTGGCACTTTGAGGTCTCCACCTTGGATTTAAGGGTTGGGAGTTCCTGATACATGGAATTACTGTTGTAATTCCTACACCGTTCACCTGATTTGGATGTAAATACCTTCAAATTAAAGCTGAAAGTCTGCAGTTAAAGCACATCTTGTTTGTTTAATTTCAAACCCATTGTGTTGGTGTATAGAGCCAACAAGATTAGAATTGTGTCGATGTCCCAATATTTATGGACCTGACTGTATGCTTAGGGATTAAAACATTAGTGGTATACTATTCCTCCTTGATCCAGAGAACATCTATAGATAATTTACCATATATGGTTAAATGGGAACCTGATTTAAATGAGTTTTTCTCTGTGGACCAACTGCGGAGAGTGGTATCTCAGTTGTGTGAAGTGGCTCAGAACCTTGACCATTGAGTGACACTCATAAACTACTAATGCAGTGGTACTTGGTGCCACAGAAATTTGCTAAAATGTTCCCCTTGTCACTGCCTTTATGTTGGCGGTGCTAAAAACCCTCTGGATCCATTATTCACATATTTTGTTCATGCCCTCCGGTAACACATTTTTGGCTCCATATCCAATCGTTGAATAAAGGCACCGACAAATATTACTTTACTTTTGGAACTAGAGACATTTCTTTTTTTACATACTCCAAGACACACTGCAAATGACACCTAGCTCTATGATTCTGCATTAGCTGGTAACAGTGAGTCTGTGTATTGCAAGGCAGTAGAAGATGACTAGTTTACCTTTGCTACCTTAGGTAATAGAAATTTTAAGCATAAAATGCATGAAACTATGACAAAAAGGTTGTTGGGTACAGGCTCAGGCACTGAGGGTAGTGGTGCTGTGGAGACAGGCTCGGGCACTGAGGTAAGTGGTGTTGTGGAGACAGGCTTGGAGACTATGGTGAAGCCTAGTAGAAAGCAGTTGTTGTTGGGGGATTCTATCATAAGAGGTGTGGAGCTGGACAATGGTGGTCTTGTCAGATGTCTTCCTGGAACTACTGCTCACAGACACAGGAAACGTATTTGTAATATTGTTAAGCGAGCAAAGCAGGAAGGGGAATTGGATGTACTTGTCCATCTAGGGCTTGGCTTGCAATGAGGTTTCAAAGGTAAAGGAAGTTTTTAGTGTTTTTTCCAATGATATAGGGCAGGTTGCTTCCACACTGTCATTCTCTGAAGTTCTGCCTGTGGATAACACTCAGAAAGCCACTTTTACTTGTGGCTTGGTGAATGTTGTCAGGAGCAAGGATTGGACTTCATTTCTCATGGTAGCTCTGTTTGGAATGGAAATAAACTGTGCAAAAAAGATGGTTTGCGGGGCGCGAGGCCTGATCTCAAACTTGGCTGGACGTGTTTGCCTGTAGCTCCTCACGATTTGAGCCACAAACACACAGAAAAACAGCATAAATACTGCAAAAACTAAAAGCAAAACAAGTTTTTCATCTCTAAAGCGGACATACCACAGCCAAGCAAACTGTGGGGAGTCTGGGTCGAACGGACCGCGAGACAACACGTCTGAGGCCTACTGCAGCTGACGGACCACCGGTGGTGAGACACGGCCGATCTCCCACTGGGAGGCACACAACACACCGCTCAGAGCTCCATTATCCCACCCCCCTTTGGACCAGTGGGGGTTATCCCAGTCCCCACAGGGCCAGCTCAGCCTGTTCCACATAGCCTGAAAAACAAAAAAACCTGAGAGCCATGCGGCTCACCTAAGATGGCCACCACCCCGAAATCCCTATGAGACCAAACAAGCCCGATGGGACAGAGCTGGAGAGAAGCCTTTGACGTAAGGTTTGAAGCGATCTGCCAGGCCTTCTTGGACAGACTCGCCCAGCGGAGACCCACTCACACCCCTCCCGAAATTAAAGTAAAGCAGCCACCGCTACCTGTCCCTCTTCTGGGCTGGGGGCCCAACCGGAGACTCCTCTGCAACATAGTCCACTGACCCGAGGGGCAAACCGCTACCCGGAAGCCCGGGGGGTTCACGATCCCGCCGCTGGGAGAAGGGATATCCATGGACTAAGGGCACTGGCTCCCTCTACAGCCCAGAGCCGAAGAGACAGAGCCCTGCCACATTGCGCTTAGTCAACCACTGGCTTGCCGCACACACAGCACTGCCCAACCAACCTAAAGCTGGAGAGGGGGACTGAAGAGAGCACACAGCACCCACCTGGCCTGCGCCCCGGAATGGAGCTGAACCCCAAACAAGATCAGCACCAGCGGCAGCCGCACACTCAGTGTGGGAATATGCAGCCTCATGTTGGCTTCTGCGAACACAAGTGGGTCAGCACCTGGTACCAGAACAGACTCATACCACCCAAGGACACTAGCCTGCCACAGATAGGCATCGGCTAAATTGCCTCACACAGGTCCCATGGGGTCCAGCTTCATGCTCAGGGTTCGGGGAACACAGAATCGCTGCCCCACTTTCAGCACTTAACTTACCAGCCTAGCTCCCTAGGTGCTATATTATGATATTTTGTTTTACTCTTTCCTGCATTCTGTCTAGCATATTGTTCTATTCAGCACCCTTGGGAATAACACCCATGGCGTACACACAAAGTTAATGTTTTCCTGTTATACGCACTAAGCCTACCGAGCCTGATAACTAGCAGGACCTCATACTGATAAACATTCACAGGCAGTATTAGCATCACCCTGTTTTACCTACAAAAAGTCAAGCCTGTTTCACTTGCATTATCACCATTTATTTCATAAAAATGTGCAGAATTATCAAATGCCAAACAAATGTTTATGTCTTGAAAAGCTTGCCCTCACTGTTGTGGTATGGCAAGACTGTTTATAAAATATATGCACAGCCAAAATAAGGGAAGACAATAAAGGGGGAGGGGTGGCCCTGTATGTGAAGGATAGCATAAAATCTAGCCTAATAAAAGTTAATGAGGCAAGCATAGAGTCCGCTTGTGTTATGTTAGAATTTGGTAATCACACAGTAACTCATGTAGGTGTGATTTATAGGCCCCCAGGACAAATAGAAGAGTTAGGTAATCTACTAGTTGAGGAAATAGCTATAATGACATTGAAGGGGGAAGTTATCACCATGGGTGACTTCCTGATGTGAATTGAAAAACCAAAATAGCTGCTTGTGCCAGGAGCACACATATTCTAAACTCCCTACTGGGATTGTCTCTAAAACAAGTCATTGAGGAGCCAACTCGTAAGGAGGCCATACTAGATTTAGTGTTAACAAATGGTGATTTGGTATCAGATATTACTGTAGGTGAAAGTTTAGGATCCAGTGATCATCAGTCAGTGTGGTTTAATATAAGAACACTGACTGAGTCACACCACACAAAAACAAAAGTTTTAGACTTAGGAAAAACAGACTTTTCTAAAATTAGAATATGTGTAAAGGAGTCATTATCAGACTGGAGCAATTTAAATGGAGTCCAAGACAAATGGGATTATTTGAAAGTTGCACTGCTGAAGGCAACAGAAAATTGCATTAGGCTTCTCAGTAAAAGCGTTAAATTCAAGAAACCACTGTGGTACTCTGCAGATGTGGCCAAAATAGTAAAAAACAAAAAGTTAGCATTTAGTAATTATAAAAAAAAAGTGAGGAAGACAGGCAGATCTATAAGATTTTGCAGAAAGAGGCTAAGCAAGTTATAAGAGTTTCCAAATCACACACAGAAGAGAAAATAGCGCAGTCAGTAAAAACGGGGGACGCAACATGTTTTAGATACATAAATGAGAAAAGGAAAGTTAAACAAGGATTAGTTAGATTAAAAGTAGGGAGGAGTCAGGCAACTATAGGCCAGTAAGCATTACTTCAGTAGTGGGGAGAGTAATAGAAATCATGTTAAAGAATAGGATTGTCCAACATCTAAAATAACATGGATTTCAAGATCAGAGACAACATGGGTTTACTTCAGGGAGAGCATGCCAAACTAATCTTATTAATTTTTTTGATTGGGTAACTAAAAATAATAGATCAGCGTGGTGTAGTAGACATTGCTTACCTAGATTTCAGTAAGGATTTTGACACTGTTGCACATAGAAGGCTTATCAATAAACTGCAATCTTTGAGATTCCAATATTGTTGAATGGGTAAGGCAGTGGCTGAGTGACAGGTAACAGAGGGTTGTAGTCAATGGAGTATATTCGAACCATGTGCTTGTCACCAGTGGGATACCTCAGGGATCTGTACTTTGACCCATTCTCTTTAATATTTTTATTAGTGATATTGCAGAAGTTCTTGATGGTAAGGTATGTATTTTTGCTGATGATACTAAGATATGTAACAGGGTTGATGTTCCAGAAGGGATAAGCCAAATGGCAAATAATTAAGGTAAACTAGAAAAATGGTCAAGAGTTGTGGCAACTGAGATTTATTGTGGAAAAGTGCAAGATAATGCATCTTGGACGTAAAAAACCAAGGGCAGAGTACAGAATATTTGATAGAGTCCTAACTTCAACATCTGAGGAAAGGGATTTAGGGGTGATTATTTCTGATGACTTAAAGGTAGGCAGACAATGTAATAGAGCAGCAGGAAATGCTAGCAGAATACTTGGTTGTATAGGGAGCGGTATTAGCAGTAGAAAGAGGGAAGTGCTCATGCCATTGTACAGAACACTGGTGTTCGCAGTACTGGAGACCGTATCTCCAGAAGGATATTGATACTTTAGAGAGAGTTCGGAGAAGGGCTACTAAACTGGTTCATTGATTGCAGAATGAAACTTAAAAGGAAAGGTTAAAGGAACTTAACATGTATAGCTTGGAGGAAAGACAAGACAGGGGAGATATGATAGAAACATTTAAATACATAAAGGGAAACAACACAGTAAAGGAGGAGACTATATTTAAAAGAAGAAAAACTACCACAACAAGAGCACATAGTCTTAAATTAGAGGGGCAAAGGTTTAAAAATAATATCAGGAAGTATTACTTTACTGAGAGGGTAGTGGATGCATGGAATAGCCTTTCAGCTGAAGTGGTAGAGATGAAAACAGTAAAGGAGTTTAAGCATGAGTGGAATAGGCATAAAGCTATCCTAACTATAAGATAAGGACAGGGACTAATGAAAGTATTTAGAAAATTGGGCAGATTAGATGGGCCAAATGGTTCTTATCTGCCATCATATTCTATGTTTCTATAAGGTTTGGGAGCAGTGGGAAAGAGCGAGGATAACTTTCAAGGGGGAGACCATCTGACCCTTCAATACAGATGCATTAGTTCAGTTAGGGTTGGTATGTTAATGGTGGCCCTCAAAACATACGTTTGTAATTCCTGTATCGTACTATAAGATATTCTTTGTAATAATTTAATGATATGTAATGCATTCCTATGGTTTTTTTTCTTTTTGTTCTTTAGTGTAATATAAAGGAAAACAGTTTAATAAAAAATTGATACATTGAAAAAAAAGAGTGCCAATAAAACAATTCACAAACAATTGTAGTGATTTATTCAGCCTATTCTGTTGACACAATGTAGTGGCAAACCTTGAATCCATGTGGTTACCTTTACTCCACTACACATTGGAAGAAAGTGCCTCTGTCCTGGGCTTTTGATAGCTATTAGGAGCAACTGAAAGTTCCTACTGTGTAGGCTCACACATTCAAGTAAAGTATAACAATAAATCTGAATGTAAAAAAAATAATAAATAAATCATCAAGGCAATTGGAGATTACATAGCTAAAACATTGACATACCACGATTGCATAGGTCATTAGAAGAAATCATATAATGATAGACGTTATGTGAGTATGATATACCTTTTGTTTATGGATCTACCATCTCCTGTTAAATATGCTTCAGGGTAAAACTTTTTAAATTTTTAAAATTCTAATGTATAAATCGAGTTTTTTTTTATAACTAAATTTCCTTTTGCCCAGTTGCCTCCTTATTTTGGAACAAACTAACAGACCTTTAGTGTGATACCACTGAATAATCAGGATCTTAGTTTGCAATTTGCTTCTTTCGCAATGTATTAAATCACCTAACGATCAACTAAAACAGAATTATTTAAAGAATTAAAAGAAGGCATTCTGTTAATATTTTTTTCTTCTGTGTTCAGCATTTTCTGTAAGCTTACCTGGCATAATTGTCCAATGCAGAGTAGAAATTAATATACAGAAATAATCACCAATTGCATTAGTGACGCTACAAATAAAGACAGTATATTATCTGTATAAAATAAACCATGCCAGTGGAACAAAGCTGCAAATCATTTTATAATGTGAGACTACTAATTCACATCATGTTTTACTGCTTTGTCCTCTGTTACATGTGCCCCCAGACACAATTCAATTGTTTCGCATGCATTTCAGAAAATGTATTGTTTAACCAATATATGTTGTGCCAATTAATAATAGTAGGGAAAGCATTAAGATTAGGCACATTCAGCCAAAGAAAATTCATAGAAAAAAATAACTTTCTTTGTAGCCATACAGGGGTAATTGCTTAAATAAGTTAATAATTAACGTGTTTGATGTTTGAGACAAACATATTTTGTGACATTGCCAAGTTGAAATCTATGATTAACGAGCACCAACAGAAACTCCCACAGGTCTAAAAAGGTCCAGGCCGCTTCCTACTCTACAGTCACTCATTTACACATACACTACATGTGTAAGCATATGCATCTTCTGCGTGTGCCTGGTGAGATACATGCCTTGAAGTGAAATTAATATCAACAAATCCTTTTTTAATCCTGCAAAATGTTCTTATTTAGTATATTTTCTTAAGTGAGTAAATACACATTAAAAAACAGAAATCAGAAGGCAAGTGGAATAATTCCTACTTGATCGGACATATTTTTTTATGTAATTTAATACGTTCTTTTAACCAACATCAAGAAGAAAAAAATGACTTGTCAACAAAAACAAGTAAAATGAACCTGAATTACCATACAACCTGATTTCTGTAGTTCAGAAACTGACAAATAAAGGAGCCAGCCTACAAATCAGATTTTTAAGATTCAATGAAGAGATTGAGTAACATCACCTCATGTAAATGTTAAAAGCCTACGGTAACATTTTTAATAGCAAAGTTTCTATGGGTCCTAGGATATGTCAGACCCTGCTGGAGTTCCGCTCATCTAGATGCACTAAGATCACCATTATAAGTAAAGTAGAACAGCCCACAGTAGCTTTGAGGAATACGTTCTGCATGCAAGCACTTAGCTGTCTGGTAGCAGTAGCCATGGATGTAGAACAGTATTTATCATGGCACAGAATGGAATGACTAGAACCCGCAGTGAAGGGCAGAGCACATTCCATTAATCCTGCCCTACTAAGCATTAACTGAATCTAAACAAGAAACATTTATCCCAAGGGTACTCTGCCAGTCTCTCGGCATCCTCAATCACTTAATCAGACCAAAATGAACTATT